GGCTCCAATTAGGATTACCTAAACTTGTTTAATTCTAATAACTCAATATACTTAATTCGGAATAAAATAGAATTCTAACTAACATACACTGGAAAGCTATTAATAGTTTACAAATTACAGTATTCCATCGTCCATGTTCTTAATTTGAATTACAAAGATAGATTATACATCTGCCTATCATTTGACTATTAAACATGCAAATACAAATTAAATACTTGACTACTTGAGTATTTCTTTTCACTACAACAGCCGCATCACAATGATTCGAAAGTGTACCTGATAGTAGAAACAGAAGAAGAAAGTGAAGATCAGTAGACCAGTAGCTAACAACAGCGACAATCAGCACCAAACAGTACAACAACAACCAGTAAACCCAGCTCAAACGAAACTGAAAACCCAGCAGTACCAAAATGAAACACAGACAGATGCAAGGAAACAAAAGTTTTCTGATTTTCAAATACTTAGGAACAGCAGCCTAACAACTCTTAGTGCAAAAGTTCAAACTCAACACTCTAACTCTTAATGTAAAAGTTCAGATTTTTTTTCTAAATTTGTTTCCTCTCCTTTTCCAGTATTTCCAGATTTCTTCTTTCTTTTTTAGTCCCGTTTTTTTTCCTCTTTTTCAGTCTGCCCCCCTTTTTATACAATCTGCCCGGCCTTTTTCCCTTTCAAAAAAAATCAGAATTCCCCACTAAAAATCTGCTCTTTTTACTTTAAATCCCACTAAGGAAGCCTTTTCCCTGATTTTCAGCCCTCATTACCTCTTGTTCCCCATTAATGTATTAGTTAATATCCCCATTAACAAAGCACTAATACTAAAATATAAACTTAACTGTTTCAATCCCAAATTGCCCCTGAAAACCCTTAATATTACTGCCCTCCTAACACAAACACTATTGCATTACAACTTTTAAAATCTGAAATCTGTTTTCAACCTTAACAAAGATTTAAAATTTAAACTTGACTTTCAAATGTACCCAAACTTATTTCCGATTACTGAAGGACTAAAGTTAGAAATCAATTGGAAAAAATGAACTTGGAATTAAATCAATCTAGACTTAACACAACATAGAACTTAACACAATCCCTAAAACTGAAACTGAAATATTTAATCAATATGCACATGAATGCAAACATCAGGAATGCAAGTTCATTGTCATTAGGATGACAATGCCCTGAAACCAAATGGCCACGGATCAAATATACACAACAACGTTTGACAAACTTTCTGTTTTAACAAACGAGAGTGAATTAATTGACGAAACTAATTAATGGACTGCTTACAAAAACTGATACTAAACAATCAGACCCTAGACAATTAGGCAATTCACAGGCAATTTCAGTGGTATTGACAGAAACATAGATTAACTAGAAACTAATTAATCGACGCAACTCATTAATCGATTATACAAATTATAACACATAACAATCATATCGAACCTAAACAAATGACAGAATTGATCCTATTGAATATGAACAAGGTCAATTGACCAAAAGAAATTTTAAAATCAATACAGCAGATAAACAGATATGTAGAGAAGCAAATACGAAGGAAAGAAAAGGAAATACCTCATAATAACAGAATTATACGGACCCAGTCTTCGAAACTCTGATTC